ATTTTTCCCTTTTCTGATAAAAATCTTATTCAATTTTTAAATTTATTTATTTATTATTTTTATTTTATGTGTATGTGTGTATTGCCTAATCAATTTTTAAGACTGAACTCAAACTGCATTTCTTTGTATAATCCATCCTGATCAACCTTGGCAAACCAATTGCTCTTTTTCTTTTTCAATAAAAGATTATCAAGCAATTGAGGATTCTCTTGTTCATCCAAACTGGCTCTTTGGTTAGCTGTTCTTTATTTATTTCTTCTAGCTTCAATTCCCAGATTTGCCTTTGCCTTCTCTTCCAGCCCCAACTCAAGTTCCTGCAAGAGAGCTTCTACTGTCTCTGTTGGCAAACCCTTCCTATCCCTTTAATCCCAGCACTGGGGAGGTAGAGGCAGGTGGATCTCTGTGAGTTCAAGGCCAGTCTGGTCTACATAGCAAGTTCCAGACCAGCTGGGGCTGGTCTCAAAAAAAAAAAAAAAAAAAACAAAAAAAAAAACCTCTGTTAAAATCTTATGTTTAAAGCTTTGTACCACGTTCTATCCTAGGTCACCCATGCATTCTTGAAAACCTCCAATGGTAGGATACCTATAATCTCAAAAGAAAGCCTATATTTTGTTCACCTCATTTAAAGACTCCTCATATTAAGTTCTATCCTATTCTTTTAATAAATTTTTTGTTCATTTCTTTTTATTTTATGTGTATGAATGTTTTGTCTTACGTATGTAAGTGTACCCTCATTGTACAATGCTCATAGCTGCCAGAAAAAGGCATTGGACCCCCCGACCCCTGAACTAGTTATGAATGGTTATCAGCCACAATATGGGTGCTGGGATTCAAACCCAGGTCTTCTTCAAGAGCAGCCGGTGCTCTTAACCACAGAGCCACTCTCCAGCCCCTGTCTATCTCATTCTACATTGCAATTATTTGTTTAGACATTTGCCTCCCCCTTCACTATTCTGGGCCAGACTTGAGACTATGAACTCCATAAAAACAAAGTTCAGATCTTATGTATATTCTCAACCTCAAACTCCAGTCTCAGCAAAGGATAGGTAATCAATAAAGATCTGTGGAAAACAATGAATAAACAAATATGAGAAAAAGTGAAAAACAAAAATAATTACTCTCATCTACTCCCAAACCCTATCTCTCAGAGCTATTCAGGAAACTCTTATTACTCTCCCCAAGACACAATTTTAGATACTTGAAATAAACTTTCAAGACTTTCAAACCTATCTTCTCAAAGCTAAACATTCCTATACCTTCAAACTGTTCTCAGAGAACAGGTTTTGTGTTTTCTTGATCACTGCCTCGGGGTTGCTACAGTGTTTTCCACTTTCCCTGTAGCCCTCCAGCTGGTCCTTTCCTTGTAGTTCTTTACAAGTGGTGTCTGTTTTCATAGTCACAGATCCCCTCCTTAGCTCATCTAGACTCAGCACAATGATCAGCACATTTAAAAGCTTGTTACAGGAAAATGGGTCCAAAATGTCACTCCCAAGAGAAGGATAACAGCACACTCAACTCTTAAATAAGGACAGTAAACACAGCCTAAATCTAACAATCTCTGCAAGTTACAGGTTTGAAAGGAAAAGAGACCAACGCCTTCTGCTACAGAATATACCTAGACCTGAGGAACCATTTATAATAAAAGCAGAGTATCTATTCTGGAGGACAGTTACTAGACAGAAAAATAGACTGCCCACATTTAACCAATGCCTCAGAGGCTCAGGGAGGCTCAAGAATTTATAAGCAACTAATTATACTGAAGTATGAATTATGAATCAACTGAATGGCTCCATAATAAATACAGGATCACTGTGAGGCTTCAAGAGGACCACTAATAGAGTGGTATATAAGGAATGACGGGATAAAGTCAGGAGATCTGGGTGTAAGACTTGGCTCTGTTATTTATTAACTTATAGGAGTCTTACCACCTATGAGATGCAATTTGATTTTCTCTACTAGACAGTATCTGCTCAAGAGACAACCAAGGAAGGGAAGTGATTCACCCTCTTCTGAGCAGGCTATAAAAGGCAAAAATACAGTGCTAGTAGAAAGAAAACCATTTCAAATAGTCTCTACGGGCAGGCTATTTTACATACGGAATGAAAAGTAGGCAATCAAGGAAGGAGTATGTTCACTGACAACTACCTCTTTCCACTTATCACCCTGGACTCAAACATTTTAAGTATCAAAGCCAGAAGCAAGCCTAGAGATCATCTAATCTGAAGCCCTCAAATTAGATATAGAAATACTGATTTACAAACAACTGTAAGAAATTTCCTACATCCACACAGTAATTTAAAGTTACATTAGAGATAGACCCCCACTTTAGCTGTTCATCTTTTACCCACTCTTTACAGCAAAACTCAAATCTTATATAAAAATATATAAGCATGCATAGGCTGGACTTGGTTAACATTTACTAAATGTCTGCCATGAACTAAGCACCAGAGAAATAAATTCTTGCTCCTCAACTTAAAAAATACATAGCATAAACACAAGGGGGGGGGTGGT